TAAGGATAATCTTTCTAATGAAAATACAAGATCTTGTATAATAAGAAGTTAAGTTCACAAGAGGTGCAGTGACCACTGGAGTCGGGAGGTTGGAGTCTATGCCAATGATGAAGGGCTGTAAATTCTGAAAGCTGAATGTGACTTCCTTTAGGAGATGTTACACAGAGAAAGAATATCAAAACATTAAAAGAAATGAATCACAGTCTATTTTTTCTGATTATTTTACCAATGTTATCAAAAGATTTTTTTCCCCTCAAATCTTACAAGTTCTATGGCACCTTTCCCCCAGCTACTTTTGTAGTGTATAATTAGCATATAATTATGTGCTCTTTCACACTGGAAGGAGCATTCTTTTATTAATGACTCTTTGAAAAGCTCCTTATTATTTATCTTTGAATGTGCGTTTGAAATCAAAAGGCTTTTACGACTCTTTCTTTCTTTTTAACTTTAGAGTTCTTAAAAGTAGTACAAGAGATAGTTAAGGATGTCACATACAGTCACAAGTTGCCCACATTTAGAGTAAGAAATAGGGTTTGGGAAACAAATGTTGCATCTTCCATTCTCTCCAGATTAAATGTTTGGGGTTTTGAAGAACATGTATGGAAAATATTGATGTTCCAACAAAGGATCTCTATTCCTTGCCTTTTCCCCATATTGGGATAAGACTATGGGTCTGAATAAATGAAAAGCTTCCTGAATCTAGCATAAAGACAGAAGGAGAATATCATCTGCATTTACTGTAAGTACAATGTAGGCTCCAAATTGGCCTTATGTGAGGAGTTCAGCCAGCCCCTTGATCAGTAATCAATCTTGGAAGGCTATCACCCACCTCTGCTGAGGCCAAGCAGTCGTTATCACTATTTTTGGCTGACTGCTTTTTTTCTAATATTAGGCTGACTAGAGCACTCCAGATTGAAAATGGGCAATTATAAGGGAGAGTGTATACATTATTGCAAATTTTAATCATTTTTTGAGCCATTTCGCTTCCAGCAATAATCCTGCAAGGCTAACATACCTTACATAAGAAACACAAATAGCTTTGTCTGAGAACAGCTCTTCAGTTACTTTGTAATCTATTCCTGCTGAACTTCTGGACTTGCCCACTCCCTGATCAGGGCTCTGATGGTTGCTTGGCTGTGCCTTATTCAAGATTACCAAATGGACAATAATACCAAGGATAAAATAATAATCAGGTTTCATTTCAGTAATATTGTTTCTACATATGCATGGCAGACACTGTGTCTGTCCAACACTTCCACTATGGTGGCAAAGTAATATTGCTCCCAGAGTTATTTCAAGCATTTTTCTTATCTCCTACACTTTTTGTTCTTTTTCAGTGGAGATAGAAGAGTAATAGTCAACTAATGACTCTGGAAATGTTGCTTCTTTTGTGGCAGCAGGGACATTTACCCAACTTTTTTGTGAGCCAAACTAACACTCATAATTGCACATCTTTTTGCCTAGACTTTTGGAGTGCCATGATATTCCTGTAGTTGAAATTGCCTAAGTAGCTCTATTTTACCAGCAATCTTTTCTCTTGAGAAGAAAAAAAAAAAGACTGATAATTTACTTTGATAGTACTCAAGAAGCTCCTGCTTTCAAGCCCCCTTCCCCTTTCATACATACGATGACTTTTCTTTTTAAAATGAGAATCATTGGCTCTCAGAGTAGGAAGAGATCTCAAAAGTAATTTAATCTAACGACCTACTGTTACATAAGTCCTCTCTACAACATCTTAAATGAGATCTTTAATTACACCTGTTTTCCAAAGCAAACAAGATGAAGGAAAGATAAGAAGGGATAACGTCTTATCACTAAAACAAACTGTAGGATCTAAATTTGGTCTTCTTTCTCATGGGTCCTCAGTCCCTCATCCATCTTGTTTCATTGCATTATTAGGAATTTGTGAAGCGGAGACTAAAATTTAAGCTTGGATCATTGAGAATATGGCCAAGAAGGCCAAAAGGGAGTGAAAAAAGCACTTCCAAAACAATTTACTGTAAGAATTGAGATCATATGGTCTTGACCTTTTCATTTCAATGATCCAGAAAGTTAAAGATACTTTTAAAGGTCTACCTCATATGAACAGAACTATAGAAATTTTTATCACTAGTACTTAAGAATAAATTAAATTATCCAGTATAAAGTTATTAATGTTTACAGGTTAAGAGAGTAGGTTCTGGTATAAGACTGTGTAGTTTGAACCTTGGCTTCCTCATTAATTTTCTATATGACCTTGGAGAGTCACGGTACTTTCTGGAGCTTCAGTTTACTCATCTGTAAAAAGGAGATAATAATATTATCTTCCTCACAGGGCTCTTAAAAGGATTAAACGAGCTAATTCATGTAAAGCACTTTGCTCAGTATATGGCATATGTTTCATATGTTTTAAGTGTCCAATAAATATTAGCTTCCCCATGTCCACTGAAGCATATTAAAATATAGAATTTAGTTGAAAAGAGCTACACTTTGTTATTATTATTATTATTGTTTCAGAATCTCAAACCTTAAATGAATTTCTACGAGTGCTATTTTGGACTGACAATAGCGTTATCAAAAAAAAGAAAAAAGAAAAAAAGAAAGTTTTTATATTGTCAGAATATTTTTTAACAAATCAATATCTATTATATCATGTGTTAACTCACCAAATAATACAACTATTCTAATAGCTGATCATGTACTCCATGAGTTTTAGAGATGGTGTGCCAACATTTAGCCAACAAATTAGAGTCAAGAATAACTCAACAAAATATAATGTCAGTACTTTCTACTTAAGTTATCTGAAACTTGGTCAATTCTGTGTATGTCTGGTCAGTCAATACACTAAAGATATTACTTGATAGTACCAAATTATATATCCGGATGAGAAACATGTCTAGAAAAAAATGTTTTACTTAGTATTTTCAATCAATATCATAAATGAACTAGTCTCTAGTTTTATGTTACTTGTTACAAAATATCTCCTTATACCAGTATTGTATTCTATTCCCCAATTATCCAATTCTAATCTGTAGTGGGAGCCCTGGTGGTGTACTGGTTTAGAGCTACTGCTGCTAACCAAAAGGTCAGCAGTTCACATCCACCTGCTGCTCCTTGGAAAACCTATGGTGCAGTTCTGCTCTGTCCTGTAGGTCGATGTGCATTGCAATTGACTCGACAGGGCGAGTTTGGTGTTTTTTTGTTTTTTGTTTTTTTGTTTTTGTTTAATCAGTGATGTGCTTTCCTTTCAGAGCAAAACACACACACACACACACACACACACACACACACCCCTTCATTTGCCAATTCTACAACAACAAAAAAAAAAAGAACCCAAATTATGCCAGTTTAGAATATCCATGTAGCTAATCAGAAACTCAAAGAATAGAGTTGATTAATTTTCACTTCTCTTCCATTCCCCAGTGGCCAATCATTGCATAGCTGAAATACATCATTGTCTGAGACTATTCTTTTTGTATTGACCCTGACATTCTGAAACTTCTCTGAGTAACCCATTACAATGATTGCAAACCTTAACCATTAGAAAACTATTTAGCGATCCAGAAATCAAGAAGATCAGATTAATTTCTTTCATAAAACTGGAAGGATCTTAGTTTAAAGATTTTTAAAAGAGTCACATAGAAAATAAATTCTATTTTTTCATATTTTATTCAGTTTATAGTACATCAGAAGAATAGAGGCTGAGTCATCTTCCCAACACTTAACATGTGTCCTCAGAAGGTTTCACATTATTGTTAGTATCCATGACAGAAGAAATAAAGTTTATTTATCAGATAACATGACAGCTGATGGTAATCCATAGAAGATGTTATTCTGAGTGAAATAAAAATGTACTATGAAAAAATGAATCAGGAAGAATATGGAAAAAAGTGTGCTATATAAAACTATACTCTCTTCCACCTACAAGCACTTCTTAAAG